GGGAAAGTGAGAAATCAGCTTCCAGGAAGGATGCCCATGCCACAATCCCTTCTCTTCTATCCTCCTCCAGGGATTCTGGGAATGCATATACACATGGCAGGCATGATTTTCAAGCTACCAGGTCCATGACTCAAACCTTGGTCAGCCATGAGAGAAACCAGTGCCTTAGCCACCATGCCACATGCTGGTTCCCTTAGTACATATATTTATAATTCATATTTAATTGTATTTTTAAAAATTCTTCTCTTATTATTGATATCACCTCTCCTTTACTATATTATTCATTCATTCAACAACTTCCACACATGGCAACGAATTCTGCCTCCTTCTCCCTCCTTACCCCCCTATTTATTTGTCCTCTACAGCCACTTGCTACCATCTGCAACCCACATTTGTTGGAAACTGGCAAGCTCACCATCATTGTACACAGTGCCCTCGTAGTCTTTCTTGTAAAAGACCCCATGGGGCTGCATGCTGAATGGCTGGGAGGCACGGTTGTAGAAGACAATGTGGATGGTATCACCTACCTCAGCCCGGATCACTGGCCCTGGAAGATGAGACAGAAAGACAATGAGAATAAAACAAGGATGAACAGGGAGAAAGGAAACATAAGGAGAGGGAGAGAAATAAAAGAGAAGCAAAAGTGAAAAACAGATCTCTTCTCCTTGCAATAAGAAACTCCCAACTATGCTATAATTTATACTTATAATACACAGGGACCTCAGATGGCTTACCCAAAAAAAAAGATGATAAACCCAATTAAAAGAAGGGAGAATGAGTTGATAAAACAACTCTCAGGGGAAGACACATGAATAGCCAAAAGGCATGTGAAAAAAATGCTCAATGCCTCATCATAAGGGAGATGCAGATCAAAACCACAATGAAATACCACCTAACCCCATTCAGAATGACTAAGATTTAAAAAAAAATGATAAGTAATGGAGGGGATGTGGTGAAAGGTGAACTCTCATACATAGCTGGTAGGCCTGTAAATTGGTCCAGCCCATGTGGAGAACAATATGGAGATTCCTCAAAGATCTACAAATAGAACTACAATATAATACAGCAATCCTGCTCCTTGGTATCTATCCAATGAAGAATTCTTAATTAGAAAAGTTCTTACATATCAATGTTTATTATGCCATTATTTACAAATGCTAAGACATGGAACCAACCCAAATGTCCATGAACAGATGAATGGATTGAAAAAGTGTGGCACAAATACGCTATGGAATACTACTCAGCCATAAAGAAAAACAAGACCCTGGCTTTTGACAGAAAGTGCATGAATATGGAAGATTTATTGCCAAGTGAAGCAGGCCAGGCTATGAAGGAGAGACACTGTAGGTTTCCGTTTAATATGTACTGAGTGTCTGCACTCTGTGGCCTAAACTGAATGACTAGAGGATACAGAAACAGAGAAAATGGTTATAGATACCAGATACAGTGTGGGAAGAGGGGAGGAGGAGGAGGAGAGTCTGAGGAAAGACATTAAGGAGAAAAATAGAAAGGCAAGACATTTATGGGACAAAGAAATGGGTTATTATGTATTGATGATAATGTGTATAGTATGGAACATTCACTTTACAAGCTAAGTGACATATGTGATTGAATGTATGAAAAATTAAAATTAAACTAAATTAAATTTTAAAAAGTACTGTAGAATACATTTATCATTTGTGATCCTAAAACATTCTAAGGAATATAGGGAAAGGGTTATTGTCTTTTTTTTTAAAGGTTTTTGTTATAGGGTACGTGCGCTCGCCAGAAAGACAGAGAGAGACAGAGAGATAGAAAGCAAGAAATCACCCCCCAGGGGGGATGGCCACGCCGCAATCCCTTCTGCTGCATTCTCCTCTCGGGATCTTGGGCACGCACGCACACGCACCTGGCGTGAGTTTGAGCCACCGGGTCTGGGACCTGAACCGTGGTTGACTACGTGGGAGTCCAACGACATTGCCATTATGCCAACTGCTGGTCCCTAGAAAGGGTTATTGTCTTCATTTTACAAATGAGGAAACTTCAGCTCAGAGAGATGGAACTGACCTACTCAATTAAAATGCTTCTTTAGTTGCAGAGCGAGAAAAACCTGAGACCAAGAACTCCTGTCACTCCATTGTCAACTTCAATTCTATTTCCTTTAATTTTATTGTCCCAGTTCCCATAATTGCATCTCCTAGTAGAACCCATAAACTATATAAACTTGCTTTAATCCTAAACCAATTTAGAACAAAGAGAAGTATTATATCCTCTATCAAAGTCCTGGACTAGGTAGTCTTTTCTTGATCCCTAGATTTTTCTGTGATTCACTACCCATTACCTCTAAACTAGTCGGTCAGCTTTGAGATCAACCAAATTTACCAAGACAACAGTCTGGGCACTTATATTAGCTCCAACCCTAGATCAGAATTTCTAGATTGGTTTCCTACTTAATTTCCATACCTAAAGCTCCACCTTTGCTCATACTCTGGGGACCCATACTGAACACCAACCAATAATAATCCCTTCATTCTCACCACCATCCCTCTTCCTTAGGGTTAATTTCTTCTCTTTGTATCTCGCTATCCAGCTGAATCTAGAACCAACTGGCACACATCCATTCTCAGAGTATAGTTCACCACATTACTTTCATTTCTAAAGTCTTCTTTCATCTGATCTTTGTGATTTCTTGGTTCCAAAAGATAACTAAATCACATAAAACTGCTAGAATGTTTCAATACTATCCTTTGAACCTTTTTGATACCTTTTCTAAGGGTAAACTCTAAACCTGTTTCTGTATCCTACAATGTGGAAAAATGTGTGTATGCCATGCTAATCTGCTCCTGTTCAGATTTCCAAGAACCTGGACCATCTTACTGCCATATATCCTCTCAGGAATATTTCTAGAGAAACAATTCTAAAAGTGTGATATTTACAATAGTGGTACTAGGAGATGTTCACCGGAAAAACAAAATGTTCAGTAGTAAAGTAAGTATAAGAAACACTACATACTTTATTCCCTTAGAGATTTATGATGAACAAAAATAAATCTGAGGCCCTAATTGTGTTTAATCTGGTGGTTTTCAAACATATTTAGACTCAGCCCTTTTTCACAAAACACTTCTCTCTTAGGCCTCACTTTAGGAGATGATGCTCTACAGTGTGCCCCTGAGCCATCCCAGGCTCGTTTTTAAGTCCTACTCACTTCTCTGGATCTAGTTAATGACTTTCCTAACTTAGAGATTCCTGAGCCAACTGGTGACATAGTGGTTAAGGGGAATGGATCCCATGTAGCTAACTGCATGGTTTGAGTACCAGACCCAGGAGCATGAAAAACACGTTGGGCACATGTGCATGCCTGCCCAAAATTCTGAAAGGAGGCTACAAATGGAGAAGAGATTGTGGAGTAAAATTCTTATAGGTGTGCTTTCTCACTTCCTCTTTCCTCCTTTCTCTCCCCCACTACCACCCCTCGCATCTTTCTCTGGCAAGCATACATGCCTTTAAAAAAAAAAATTAAAGATTCCTTACCCAGGATTCCAAGATGTTTATCTTCCTCTGACTGTACCTTCTCCTGGAATGTCTCATCTTGGAAAGCTTCATATCGGACTTTCCAGTAAGTGCCCCCAATTCTACTAGAACTCTTCTGGAAGAACTTTTCCGAGATACTGGTACATAAGAAGGCAAATGTCACATGATTTATTGGATATCAAACAGACTCTCATCTCACCCCTTAGTCTCACGAAGCTATGAATCTTTATGGTTAAGAAGGACCAGAGATCATCCAGGTTAACTCTCACCATTAAAGGTATCTTCTCTGGTGATACTAATAAGTGATATATAGCTTGTGCTTGAGCCTTCCAAAGACAGAGATCTAATTTTTGGAGGAAATAATTCTGCATACTGATAGACAGTTTTAATTATTGGAGTTCTTCTTTATAATAGGCTGAAATATTCTTGTTTGTAAGTTACAGACACTGGGACCCATTTTCCCCTCAGAGTTACTTAGTCCACATCTGTGCTTTATCATCCTTAGGTACTCATGATGCTTGCTCTCCTTAATCAAGAAAAAAAGAAAACACTTGCATTTCCATGCTTATTGCAGCATTATTCACAATTGCTAAGCCATGGAATCAATCCAAATGTCCAAGAGAAGATTAATTGATTGAAAAATGTGACATATATACTCTCTAGAATACTACTCAGCTGGGACCAGCAGGTAGTGTGGTGATTAAGGCATTGAACACTCCCAAATGGCCAACAACGGTTTGTGTCCTGGACCTGGTGGCTTGCTTTCTCATTGTCTTTCTTTCTCTAGTCAAAATTAAAATAAAATGAATGAACAAGTAAATAAAATTAAAAATCAATAATTATTTTTTAAAAAGACTATTACTCAGCCATAAAGAACAATGAAATTCTGACATTTGATACAAAGTAGGCAAATATGGAGAACTTAGTGAGAAGTGAAGCAAGGCAAACTTTGAAAGAGATATTATATGTCCCTGCTTAATATATACCACATATCTTCACTCTATGACAAAAACTGAAAGATTGGAAGGTACAAATGAAGGGAGAAGGAGGAAATTGTAGCAACCTAGAAACTGTACAAGAGAGGGTGGGGGTTGGGAGGAGAGGAATCAAGGGAAGAAAGAATATTTAACAGATACAAAAAATGAAGATATCTGTTGATGATAATGTGTATGGTAATATTTTGGACTAGACTAATGCAATATATTCGTGCTGGGAAAAAATCATATCTGCTGTAAGAATGAACAGTAATTAAAAGTAAAAAAATATGGCAGCAATAGCCACTCTAACCATTCAGCAGCTATCAGCATTGAGACAAGACCCTCCACACCAGCAGAATGGTGAAACCGCAAATTATTGTATGTTTCAGCAATAGGTATTTTTGAAATTAAAAAAAAAAAAAAAACCTTCATTCTAAAATGAAAGAAATTAAGCTGGCAAGCCCAGTTGGAGAGTCTAGAAGTCATGTTTAGAGTAAAGTGCTGACTTGCCTAAAGTTTTATACAGATTCACTTCATTATCTTCTGCTGAAAGAATAAAGATTAATAGTGCCCTAGGATCCTCCCCATATCCTCTCCTAATCATGTACCAGGTGACTCTTCTGTGAAACACCTGGTATCACTCAGTGAGCTGGCATAACTTAAGGCCTAGCAACTGAAGAGGACACTGACCTCCTGCTCTATCTTGTCTAAATCTAGATATTGGTTGAGGCAGAAAAACTTGGAGAAATACCACCAAAAGAATGGGTATGGAATGACATCAAGATAAGTTGATTCTAGAGGTTTTTGCTATAAGGTGCGTGCGCTTGCCAGACAGAGAGAGACAGAGACAGAAAGTGAGAAATCACCCCCTGGGGGGATGGCCACGCCGTAATCCCTTCTCCTCCATTCTCCTCTCGGGATCTTGGGCATGCACGCACACACACTCGGCGTGAGTTTTAAGCCACCAGGTCCGGGATGCGAACCGCAGTTGACTACATGGGAGTCCAGCGACATAGCCATTACGCTAACTGCTGGTCCCAATTCTTCCTACATTTCTCAGAGTTCTTCCTATATCACTGCTCAAATGCATCCTTCAAACTATTAAAAAAGTGAAGAAAAGAGTAAGGAGAAAAATAATGGGTAAAATAAACAAAAGACATTTCAACTAAAGCTCTAGTTCTATCTGAGCTTTTCTTCCTAACTATGGCCAGGAATTTCATCAGAACCGTGCTCAAACTCTGCTTGGAACCCTTGCTGGGTATATGACATAACCCCTAAAAAAACTTTGCTACCTGTAGCTCTCCAAGAGCAAGCTCTACAGGTAGCCATAAGAACTTGACTAAGAGTTGGTTATATAACCCAAGCTGATCAATGGTTGTGAAACCTAGTGAAGTGAGAGATTTTTAGGAGGAAGAAAATAGGTGTTTGAGGAGAGGCCCAGGAGTAAGTATAAGGAATCTACTGTCTCTTACCTGCCAGTCTCTCTCAAACTCTTCCCAGTACTTCCGTCATGCCCCATTGGGCCATAGTCCCATCGAATTTCATGGGCCTCAATGAAATATTGCCGAACTTTGCCTCTGAGCTGGTCCAAAGGAGGAGTAGTGGAGCAAGACTTCACCTTGTAAAATGCCTGCATGCCGTCTAGAAGAAAAACATCATGGCTGTCCCCACTCAGCCCCCAAAAACTCACCTTCCTGCTTTTTCTAGTGGTTCCTCCTCCCATCTTCCATTAGTCTTTATCCATGCCCCAACATAGACCACTTACTCTCAATCCTCAAGAGCCAGGGCGAGAAAGAGAGTCCAGGTAGGCATTCAAGTATCCCCACCTGCTCGTGCCACCACTGATACATTTACCAGATCCTCATCCCCGCCTCTGCAACAGGGTCATATTTTAGCAACATCACAGAGACTGAAGCCATGAGGCTTGAGTTCAGATCCAAGCTTTATCACTATCTGTAGGACCTAAGGCCAGGCAATTCCTCAATATGATCTTTCCTCTTTTGTAAATGGAGAGAATAAGGAAACCAACCTCAGGGGCTGGTGGGAGCATAAAATTAAAAAAAGGATAAGGTAAACTGGACATCTCCCACAACAATGGAATATCTTGTATACATGGAGATGAAGCTTCAGGCTTGGAACTGTCAAGAAAATCTAGAGCCTTAGTAGTGTCTTCAGATATGGAAGACACTATATTAAAGCATAATGTTAATGAATGACACTCATTTGCTCAGCAGTTTATAGAAGACATTCAGCTAAACTGTCTCATTTGGGTCTCACAAACATCTCAAGGAGATTCAGAATTTTTTTTTTGAGAGGTTTTTGCTATAGGTCACGTGCGCTTGACAGAGAGAGACATAGAGACAGAAAGCGAGAAATCACCCCCCAGAGGGGATGGTCACGCCTCAATCCCTTCTCCTCCATTCTCCTCTCGGGATCTTGGGCATGCATGCACACGCGCCCAGCGTGAGTTTTAAGCCACCGGATCCAGGATACGAACTGCGGTCGACTACGTGGGAGTCCAGCGACATAGCCATTACGCTAACTGCTGGTTCCCAAGATTCAGAATTTTAGAACTAGTAATCTGAAGTATAAAGAGGGGGGAGAAAAAATATTCACTTTTATGGAATATGTATTATATGTCAGACCCTGTGTCAGGTGCCATATATATGTTATTGTCACCAGTCTTCACAACTACTCTATGAGATTAACTTTTAATGTCCCCTTTTGCTGATTAAAAAAAATAAGGAAAAACGTTAAATAACTTGTCCAAGCTTGAACAGCTGGTTAGTGGTACAGTTGATTTTAAGTTCCAATCTTTGTATTCTTTTTTTCTTTTTAGGTTTTTGCTATAGGGCACACGTGCTCACCAGAGAGGAGAGAGACAGAGAGAGGGAAAATGAGAAATCAACACCCTCCCAGGTGGATGGCCATGCTGCAATCCCTTCTCCAGTGATCCCCTCAGGATCTTGGGCATGCACACATGCCCAGTGTGAT